GGGTCTCTAAAATTTGAGTGTAATGTTTAATAAGTATGAGAAGGCAGATTGGGTGGATAGAAGACAGAGTGCTTTCACCAGCATACTCAAGTGGACAGAAAGCCAGCTCAGAACAAGACTGCTGAGGCTTCTGCAAACATCTACTTTGTGTGTGCAGTGTAAAGGGAATGTTGATGGGTGGGCCAAATTTGATAGGCATTTTGGCCATGCACATGGGGTCACAACACCACTGAAATGTGGCCAGACAGAAATGTGTCTGTCTGGCATTATGGAGGTGTGGGTGGGCCAAATTTCAGTTGCATTGTGACCCCATCTACCAAATGATGGAGCGTTGCTCTGACCTGGGATTCCAGGTGTTGGAGCAACACTCTGGACCCCTGCAGCAGCACTAATCCCCAAATTATGGGGAGCCCCTGTGCACTTCCCTGGTTGCACTGGTTATTCCTCCACCAATGTTTGGGATCCTTTTTGTCTGGATTGCTGAAGTCATTTATATTGGTTTAAGTTGTGAGATTTCTTTGCAGACTCTTGAGGTTAGATCCTGCAAGAGCTCTCAGACTTCTACCAAGTAGCCCTCATTTTGTCTACTGACCATGTAATGCTTTATATAAAATCATTATATGTGCCTCATGTTGCAGTATTGATGTCTCACTGCACAAAATAAAACCCAGTACACCATTGTGGATTTAAATGATCACAAACCAAGCTCTCAGTTTCCTCCTCACTACTACACTGCTTCTCAAAACAGATCATTGTGACTGTGGTGTGTAACGGAATGGCAGGATTTTTCTGTTGGCCCACCCTGCTGGTGTTAGAATCTTGCATAAAACTGCTGGTGTTCCAATGGCTCATTTTGGTCTGTACTGCTTATTAAACACCTCTGGATATAAGGGAGATGGGAGTGTCTCTCAACGGAGTGAGAATTGGGGATATAGGAGGGAGGCAGTCCCAGAGGAAAACATTAGGGACCTCCAAACTCAGAGAGGAAGTTTAGGCGAAGGTTTATTGTGATGTTGCTTTTTGACTACCAAAAAAGCCAAACCCCAGAAGGGGACTGAGTTTGGTCACATAATTCAGGGTCAGCACAGGGGAGAGACTGAGACCATTCATAGAGTGTCATGAGCGATTGATAACTATGATTAGTCCGTGTTCCAAAGTGGAAAATTCATGAATGATTTTGGGGATAAATCCTTTTATATCTGATGCTCCTGGTAATGGAAAGTAATAAGTCACAGAATTGATTCGGCAAAGAGCACTTAGTTAATTACAGGTTTTATTATAATCCTGGTTTCCTTTCACATGGTTGGATACTACTTTTTCTACTGAATTAATAAATTCTATGAGTGAGTGTTGATTTCATATATTTATTCAAATTAAAAAATTTAACATCTTAAAAGTAGCACAGTAAAATTCCATGAACCTGCCAATGTTTTCATGAAATGTATGAAGCTGTTAATTTCACCCATCTGGTATAATATTATGTGGGTGTGCATATTTATACATACACACTAGAGAAATGCAGTCGTTGCTGATGAGGAACTCAGTAGTCTTTCAGCTCTCATTAACACTCCACAATAGTTGGGACAAAATGAAGAATATCACATTTAGTGCATATTGCCAGGGAATTTTGCCTAGGTAAATTACTTATCTAAACTGAAATTTGGCCCAGGCGCTGGAAGTAAATATCTATTCTTGTCAGAAATGCCATGGGATCTTTAATGACCACACCTGGGGTCATTAAACCTTGGGTTTAGGTCTCAACTGAAAGATTTATTTATTATTTTGTTAATGACTACCACTTTCTGCACAACCAGCACTACTTTCTTCAGCATTCTAGGTTTTCCTTACAAATTCTGATAAGGGTTATTGGTTAAGGGTGTAAGATCATGGGCCCTGAACCAGGGCCTGTGAGTCCCTAGGCCATGCTCAGACTGTGGCCACCACCCAGTAGCTTACCCAAACTAGTGGAGAAGGGCGCTGGCGAAGCTCTAGCTCACAAAGGCTCTGCCCACAAAGCTGATCGAGGGAGATGTCCAGCCCCAACGATTGGCTGGGATGCATTATTTAAAGCAGATAGAGGTACAGGAAGTTGCTTGAGCAACTTGGTGAATCCCTGGCTACTACGAACCCTGCCTATTTGCCTGACTGCTGAACCCTGACCCCCAGCCTGTTCCTGCCCACTTTGTCCCAGACTCCTGTCTGTTCATGGTTCCCGCTTTCCTGACTCGCTTCAGATCCCTACTACTATGCCCTGCCCCTGACGCTGTCTCTGGCTCTGACCCTGGCTCCAGTTCCAGGCACCTGATTCTAGCCATTAGGCCTGACTGCCTATTCCCTGGATCTTCAGTGAGATCCAAAAGAACACTGTCTACGGTGGTACAGCTGTAGAAATTTAACCCCAGGTATTCAGGAAAGTGATGAATTATTGTGCTCTGTTTAGGTGGTAAAATTACTTTGTCATCAGAATGAGGCATTTTATCAAATTTATGATATTAACAAACTGAAATATTTTTACAGGTGTCTAAAGGATATTTCTATAGTAACCAAAGTGACTTGTGGTTTCTAAAAAGCAGAAGGGCATTTTTTATAATGTTGGCAGGTAGGGATATAGATATATTTTTAAAATTAACTTTCTTGTGGCATTTAGAAGGTGCCTATTTTAGTTACTGTGATTGCGGTCAGGAGTTCACTGATGGCACTTTCAGGAGGTGGTGCACAGATCCGTATATGCTTTGATGATTTTTCATCACAGACTCACAGGCATATTTCTGCTGTCAGGAAAATCTACATCAGAGAGATTTACCTTATGGGCATATACTTGATGCCTTTTCATCATAGCCTGAGTTTTGATATTAACCTCCCCTCTGGGAATTCATAATTATTCAACATGTATAAAACTTTCATGTATAGCATCATACCTTCTCCCTAGCTTTTTTCAGAAGTAGAAAGAAGGCTCCAGATTTTAATTAAGAATATCATCTTTTTTATGTTTTATTAAGGATCCTGTGCACTAAGGCTTGTAATGAGTTCTATTTTCTTTGGAGAGACCATTGTTTTGTTGTCAGCCGCGCTGCCTTAGAGGCATCTCAATATTTGCCATTCATCCATTATTATATGTCAACTTTTTCCTCATTTCCCCCCACCCCTGTGGAAGCAAATCACAGATTAGGTTTATAAAACATTTATAGTGGCTCAGGGTGGGGGCAGGGGAAGGATGACGCTTATACACCCTGCTCTTAGGGGTTATTTATAATTATTTATTTGTAAAAATTCACCGTAGGTTGAATTTTGGCAAATAGGATCTAACCTAGGCAATAGAAATGGAGATTTTGTTATAAGTAAAGAGAAGATTGTTTGGTTTCTTTCATTTATGATGAGGGAAAAAATGATACATTGAGAGTTCTTCTGACTCACAGGATTGAATTAAAAAATACACTATACTTATGTCTGAAGCTGAAAATTTGCCGATTGGTGCTTTGGGATATTTCTTAAAGAAAAACAAAACTGTTTACCTTAGAAAATCATCTGTTGTGTAAAGGCAGCAGTTTATTGTCCTTTTCAACCAAAAATTTCATAAAGCATTTTGGTATGTGGACAATAGATGGAGCTGTTATGGTCTGGGATACCTATAATCTGTGCATTCTCTTTTGAGTTTTGAGGTGGTAGATGGATAATATATGCACAAGTGGATGTGCTTCACATTAATTTCTAGAAGCAGTGTTTCATCCGTAACCCTTGAATGCCCTTGCTGCTTACGTCAGAGCCCCTAAAGGTTATTTTATAGATCTGTGTTTACAGGTACTCATATGGCCTCTGCCACCTTAGGGCTAGTCTACATTTAAATGTTTTACTAGTATAACTATTTTGGTTGGGGGTGTGTGTATTTTTTTTACTGAAATAGCTATACCAGTGAAATCCCTACTGTGAACACAATTTAAATTGTGTAAAAATTACTTATACTGGTATGGTTATTCCCCTTCCCATACTGGAATAGCAAAAGTGGTAGAAAGCTCCTTTATACTGCTATAACTGCATCCACACTAGGGGGATTGTGCGATTTTAACTATACTGATATAGTTAAAATGGTACAACTTTCTAGTGTCATCAATGTAATTATCCTTGTGAGGTAGGGAAGTGCTATTATCTTGATCTTCACAAAACGAGGCACAGAGAGTTTAAGGACTAATAATATAAGCAAACCAGCGGTAGAGCTGGGAATTTAACTCAGGACTCCTGACTCCCAGTTCTGATTCTCTAATGGGAATCACACACTACTCAGGAACTGTAGGGCAAAATAAGATGGGAGTATCAGGAACCCTGCATGGCTCCTAAACTACACGTTTCAGGGAGAGAAAGAAGTCGAGAGTCCTGATTTTTAAGCACTTATCTATGCAACCTCAGCATTTTCTTTCTTGATATATTATTTTTAATAAGTGCATACCATTTACAAACACAGTTTGTCCTATATATAAAAACCGTAAGGAAATAATGGTATATGGTATTTTTCGTTGTGCAAGAAAGATGTTTTCTGGAGTCTAACAGATTTATGGTACCCATTTAAATGTACTGTATCATCTGGCAATTATAAATTGAGGTACATTATAAAGCCTGATGATGATCTGATGGACTACAAGGTAATGACCCATGAATTACAAGTGTGAAATTTTCTTCAACTTAAATATCAGACATGGGTTTTCCCCACAAATGTAAAAAATAATTAAAAACTAAAAATGAGGGAATGTTTTCTGTGTAAAATAATCTAGGTAAACCATAATTGTGAACATCTTGTTCCAATGGGTTATTAAGAACGTTTCCTGTAATGGTATTTAGTGGAGCAGAAAAATTAAACAGAATGCAAAACTCTCCTCTCTTTTAATACTGTTGTTTTAGCTGCTGCTTGGGTCTTTAGTTGCTTAATTTCCTGTGTTTTCTGTGCAATCTACTGATGTTGCAAATGTTTGTTTCCTTCTCTCTTACCCTTCCTCCAAATGAATCTGCAGGAAGTAATTTCTGTACTGCTAAGGATCTTGCAGAAGAAATCAGATCATTAACATCTGAGAGAGAAGGGCTGGAGGGACTTCTCAATGAGCTGTTGGTGCTGAATGCCAGAAATGTCCGAAAATTAGAGGGAATTAAAGAAGATTTCAACAGATTGAAACAAGAACTGGAGCAGGGGAAGTCTGCCTTTGGTAAGTAGTTCACCAGCTGTTGGGTGATTGAAGCTTTGCTTGTGCTATATTGTGGACAGACCAGTATTCTGCTGGATTGGATGAACAGCACTGTGATGTGTGTGACATGCAGAACATACCATTTTTAGGAGGGAAATTTTGGCAGGACCTTGATAAACAGTAGTTTGTACATGCTGTCAGGCTCTGTCTTGTCATTCGTGAGTGACATTTTTTCTAGCTTTGTGTATATTAGTTTTGTAGGGTGCTTTTGATATCTCTCTTAGCCCTGATTCTCAAAAAGTCTCTTGTGCTGAAACCTAATTAATAATAATAATGCCTTGTGCATGTACATCATGTACATAATCAAATATCTTGTACATAAATGTTCTTGTACTTTCCATCTATGGAAAATATAGGGTGTCCACAACAGTAGGAACCTCTGCCTTTAACAGAATTGGGTATTTATTCAGTATGTTTGTTGGGAAAGTGTGTAACTCATAGAGGGCACAAGGTTTTGAAAGCAAGAAGTCTTTATTTAAATAAGTGGTTTAGCGAGTACAGCTAACAAGTCAACATAAGCAGCCTTTCTGGCTTACTGTTTCAAAGTGGAATCAGGAAATTTGATCTGTGATTAAGTGAATGCAACTGACAAAGTAGTGCTGCTTCATAGAATCATAGAATCATAGAATATAAGGGTTGGAAGGGACCCCAGAAGGTCATCTAGTCCAACCCCCTGCTCAAAGCAGGACCAATTCCCAGTTAAATCATCCCAGCCAGGGCTTTGTCAAGCCTGACCTTAAAAACCTCTAAGGAAGGAGATTCTACCACCTCCCTAGGTAACGCATTCCAGTGTTTCACTACCCTCTTAGTGAAAAAGTTTTTCCTAATATCCAATCTAAACCTCCCCCACTGTAACTTGAGACCATTACTCCTCGTTCTGTCATCTCCTACCATTGAGAACAGTCTAGAGCCATCCTCTTTGGAACCCCCTTTCAGGTAGTTGAAAACAGCTATCAAATCCCCCCCTCATTCTTCTCTTCTGCAGGCTAAACAATCCCAGCTCCCTCAGCCTCTCCTCATAACTCATATGTTCCAGACCCCTAATCATTTTTGTTGCCCTTCGCTGGACTCTCTCCAATTTATCCACATCCTTCTTGAAGTGTGGGGCCCAAAACTGGACACAGTACTCCAGATGAGGCCTCACCAATGTCGAATAGAGGGGAACGATCACGTCCCTCGATCTGCTCCTATGCCCCTACTTATACATCCCAAAATGCCATTGGCCTTCTTGGCAACAAGGGCACACTGCTGACTCATATCCAGCTTTCGTCCACTGTCACCCCTAGGTCCTTTTCCGCAGAACTGCTGCCTAGACATTCGGTCCCTAGTCTGTAGCTGTGCATTGGGTTCTTCCGCCTAAGTGCAGGACCCTGCACTATCCTTATTGAACCTCATCAGATTTCTTTTGGCCCAATCCTCCAATTTGTCTAGGTCCTTCTGTATCCTATCCCTCCCCTCCAGCGTATCTACCACTCCTCCCAGTTTAGTATCATCCGAAATTTGCTGAGAGTGCAATCCACACCATCCTCCAGATCATTTATGAAGATATTGAACAAAACCCCCCAGGACCACCCTTGGGCACACCACTTGATACCGCTGCCAACTAGACATGGAGCCATTGATCACTACCCGTTGAGCCCGACAATCTAGCCAGCTTTCTACCCACCTTGTAGTGCATTCATCCAGCCCATACTTCCTTAACTTGCTGACAAGAATACTGTGGGAGACGTTCAAAAGCTTTGCTAAAGTCAAGAAACAATACATCCACTGCTTTCCCTTCATCCACAGAACCAGTAATCTCATCATAGAAGGCGATTAGATTAGTCAGGCATGACCTTCCCTTGGTGAATCCATGCTGGCTGTTCCTGATCACTTTCCTCTCATGTAAGTGCTTCAGGATTGATTCTTTGAGGACCTGCTCCATGATTTTTCCAGGGACTGAAGTGAGGCTGACTGGCCTGTAGTTCCCAGGATCCTCCTTCTTCCCTTTTTAAAGATTGGCACTACATTAGCCTTTTTCCAGTCATCCGGGACTTCCCCGGTTCGCCACAGTTTTCAAAGATAATGGCCAATGGCTCTGCAATCACAGCCGCCAGTTCCTTCAGCACTCTCGGGTGCAACTCGTCCGGCCCCATGGACTTGTGCACGTCCAGCTTTTCTAAAAAGTCCCTAACCACCTCTATCTCCACAGAGGGCTGGCCATCTCTTCCCCATTTTGTGATGCCCAGCGTAGGGTCTGGGAGCTGACCTTGTTAGTGAAAACAGAGGCAAAAAAAGCATTGAGTACATTAGCTTTTCCACATCCTCTGTCACTAGTTTGCCTCCCTCATTCAGTAAGGGGCCCACACATTCCTTGGCTTTCTTCTTGTTGCCAACATACCTGAAGAAACCCTTCTTGTTACTCTTGACATCTCTGGCTAGCTGCAGCTCCAGGTGCGATTTGGCCCTCCTGATAACATTCCTACATGCCCTAGCAATATTTTTATACTCTTCCCTGGTCATATGTCCAACCTTCCACTTCTTGTAAGCTTCTTTTTTATGTTTAAGATCCGCTAAGATTTCACCATTAAGCCAAGCTGGTCGCCTGCCATATTTACTATTCTTTCGACTCATCGGGATGGTTTGTCCCTGTAACCTCAACAGGGATTCCTTGAAATACAGCCAGCTCTCCTGGACTCCTTTCCCCTTCAAGTTAGTCCCCCAGGGGATCCTGGCCATCCGTTCCCTGAGGGAGTCGAAGTCTGCTTTCCTGAAGTCCAGGGTCCGTATCGTGCTGCTTACCTTTCTTCCCTGTGTCAGGATCCTGAACTCAACCAACTCATGGTCACTGCCCCCCAGATTCCCATCCACTTTTGCTTCCCCCACTAATTCTACCCGGTTTGTGAGCAGCAGGTCAAGAAAAGCGCCCCCCCTAGTTGGCTCCTCGAGCACTTGCGCCAGGAAATTGTCCCCTACGCTTTCCAAAAACTTCCTGGATTGTCTATGCACCGCTGTATTGCTCTCCCAGCAGATATCAGGAAAATTAAAGTCACCCATGAGAATCAGGGCATGCGATCCAGTAGCTTCCGTGAGCTGCCGGAAGAAAGCCTCATCTACCTCATCCCCCTGGTCCGGTGGTCTATAGCAGACTCCCACCACTACATCACTCTTGTTGCACACACTTCTAAACTTAATCCAGAGACACTCAGGTTTTTCTGCAGTTTCGTACCGGAGCTCTGAGCAGTCATACTGCTCCCTTACATACTTCTAAGTTCTGTAGATCCTCTGTCTTCTGCCTTCCCTTCCTGAAGCCGTCCAGTAAGTTACCAGATACAGTGGCTATGTTGCTTAAGTAAAAGATGGCGTAGTGTTTAATTGATTACAAATACACACAAACGGTAGTTGCCTCTGCCTGCTAAACATAATGGTATGTCTACACTACGAAATTAGGTCGATTTTATAGAAGTCAATTTTTAGAAATCGATTTTTTCAGTCAATTGTGTATGTCTCCACTAAGCGCATTAAGTCGGCAGAGTGTGTCCTCAATACCGTGGCTAGCATTGACTTACAGAGCGGTGAACTGTGGGTAGCTATCCCACAGTTCCCGCAGTCTCCGCTGCCCATTGGAATTCTGGGTTAAGCTCCCATGCCTGATGGGACAAAACCATTGTCGAGGATGGTTTTGGGTACATGTTGTCAGTCGCCCTTCCCTCCCTCCCTCTGTGAAAGCAATGGCAGACAATCTGGGCCTGACAAAGAAGCACAGACTGGTGGGACCACACAGTGTTGCAGGTATGGGATGATTCCCAGTGGCTGTAAAACTTTTGCATGTATAAGGCCACTTTCCTCGAACTTCGTGAGTTGCTTTCCCCCATCCTGAAGCGCAGGAATACCAAGATGAGAGCTGCCCTGACAGTTGAGAAGTGAGTGGCGATAGCCCTGTGGAAGCTTGCAATACCTGACTGCTACCGGTCAGTCGGGAATCAATTTGGAGTGGGCAAGTCTACTGTGGGGACTGCTGTGATCCAAGTAGCCAATGCAATCACTGACATTCTGCAATCAAGGGTAGTGACTCTGGGAAATGTGCAGGTCATAGTGGATGGCTTTGCTGCAATGGTTTTCCCTAACTGTGGAGGGGCAATAGATGGAACACATAGCCCTATCTTGGCACTGGACCACCTTGCCAACCAGTATGTAAACCACAAGGGGTACTTCTCAATGGTGCTGAAAGCACTGGTGGATCACAAGGGACAACCGACATCAACGTGGGATGGCCGGGAAAGGTGCATGACGCTCGCATCTTTACGAACTCCAGGCTGTTCAAGCAGTTGTAAGAAGGGACTTACTTCCCAGACCAGAAAATTACTGTTGGGGATGTTGAAATGCCAATAGTTATCCTTGGGGACCCAGCCTACCCCTTGCACCCATGGCTCATGAAGCTGTACACAGGCAGCCTGGACAGTAGTAATGAGCAGTTCAACTATAGGCTGAACAAGTGCAGAATGGTGGTAGACTGTGCCTTTGGACATTTAAAAGTTCGCTGGCGCTGTTTGCTGACTAGGTTAGACCTCAGTGCAACCAACATGTTATTGCTGCTTGCTGTGTGCTCCATAATATCTGTGAAAGTAAGGGGGAGACATTTATGGCGGGGTGGGATGTTTAGGCAAATTGCCTGGTGGCCGATTTTGAGCAGCCAGACACCAGGGCGATTAGAAGAGCACAGCTAGGAGTGCTGCGCATCAGAGAGGCTTTAAAAACCAGTTTCATGACTGCCCAGGCTACGGTGTGACAGTTGTGTGTGTTTCTCCTTGATGCAAACCTGCCCCCTTTGTTGATTTTAATTCCCTGTAAGCCAGCCACCTTCCCCTCTTCGGTCACAGCTGGCAAAGGAAATAAAGTAACTATTGTTTTAAAACCATGCATTCTTTCTTTATTGATTAAAAAAAGTGAGATAACTGACAAGTTAGCCCGGGTGGGCTGGG